CAAGGACCATTCTCTGTGCTTTATGTCTCATGCTGGGCCGTTTCCCTGCCCAAGAACTGATGAACACCACCAATATTTACAGCACTGTAACCGAGCCCCAGCAAGGACACGAGAGACCAAAGTGATGGTTCACAGTCACTGCCTCAGGCTCTCTACAAACCCCAGACTGGAATGGCAAAAAGAGAGAAGTAAAATCTGTGGGAAATAACCACATTTGCCTTCTCATCCTGAACGTCTCCAGCGCCCAATTGCACAGAATTATTCTGAAATCAGTGGGTTTGTTTGGTAAGCAAGGTGACAAAGGGATTTGGGAACTTGTTCCTAACATTACAAGCTGAGCAAGCCACACAGAGCCTGAGAGTATTTGAGAAGTGGAAAAATAAAAAGCCAGTCCATACCAATAGAATTGTGAAGTTTTCCAAGACGCTGTTCATCATGTATTTCTCTGGTAAATGCTTCAGCTTGTGGATGAAGTTGATCATGTATTCACACATGGGAGAGCGGTTTATCCTGTACACGAACCGGCCRTTCTCAAACCTCGCATACTCAGTCTGAAAAAAACATAAAAATTAAGAGCATTTGGAATGTGATAATTCACAGAAAGCAAAAAGTGACTGCTAAATCTGTTTTTCTCTTCTTTTTTTTGTGTAGATAGGAAAAAGTGGCTCAGACACACACATGGGCTGCTTGCTGACTCCCTGCCTGAGCTATGCAATGTCTTGCTAAAAATTCAAGGGCCCTTAATCATCAAAAATAATAATATCACTGCTTGTTCTCTAACTTGCATACTAGCAAACTGAACAGGTGAGGATTATAGAAAGGAAAAGTTAAATAAAAATGAATTAAGCCAAAAATGCTGTGGTAAGATGATTTTACAGCAGTTTTGAGGCACCTGTCTGCAAAGAAGAAAGCAAAAATAAGCTTATACATTTATGCTTAAGTGTGCACATACAAACATATCATTGCATGATTTAAAAGGCAATTTATGAACTACAGAAAGATGCAGGACTGCAGCCAGAAGAAAACCAGCCTGATTTGGATTGCTGAAGGAGGGTCAGGCTGTGACTCTGCTCTCCAGGTACAAACTGCTCAGATCAGCCACTCAGTGCGTTATGAGGACTTCTGGCTTTCTCTAATAATGGAAATTATTAAAAMCCTTTTTTATGGTCACCATGGTTAGAAAACATATTCAGTATAAGAAGGACGTAAACAGTGACCAGGACATCTGTAAAGGCTCAGCCTTCAGCTCTAGGCTAAAATTCCCCCACAAAATCAGTTTTGTACACGACAGATGTGGGTGTGGGGCTTTGCACCACAAACCATCAGAGCCCTGACCACGCCACATAGGCCTGGTTTTGGAAAGGTAAAAAAGAAATAAAAGCACCTATCCCATCATCACAACACCCACCTCTACTTTTTCTACGACTTGCTTTCCAAAGGAGCAGACTTTGGTGGAGCAGGTGATTGTCATGTTTTCKGAGCTCTCGTACTGACTGGTGACTCCGTAAAACGCCCCTGTGTCATCCTGGATGTTGCAGTTTAGGTCGGCCTGTTGGGAGAAAGTGATGGATGGTGAAGATTGGATTTTTCATTTGACTTTTTATCTGCTGCCTTCCGATTTTGAAGCCCACTGAAAATAAAACTCTAATTGTTGTATTTCTCTGCAGACATTTAACCTGGAAAGGKAACCCATGTGGCCGTCTGAAAGCTAAATTGCATTTCTCAGACTAAAGAAATTAAAATACATTTTTTCTCCTTTTTCTCCTTGTCCAAAATGTTAAGACAAAAAAATAAAAAAGGTATTGTCATAGTGATTTTGTGGCTGTGAGAGTCACAGATGTGGCTTTGAGTGGGAATAAGGTGATGTGTTAGACAAGAATGCCCTGGTGTTCAGCTTGAGCTCCTCACTACTGTATTGATTCCAGCCTTGTGTCTACATCTGAAAAGGGATGTTGGAAAATTGGAAAGTGTTCAGAAAACAGTTACAAGAATGATTTCAGGTCTGGAGAACATCCTTTGTAGTGAATGACTAATGAAACTCCATCCAGTTACTTTTTCCAAGGGAAGTTTTTCCACAACCKTGTCATAGGCTGCATGTTGCTGCTTGGGGAAGAGTCTTCTTCTAGATTAAATCTTGCAGAAAAGGACATTCAAAGGCAGAAAGCTAAAGCTAAGCAAAACCAAAAYGTGGAACAAGGCAGGGGCTGGCAGCTCTGATGGCAATGAATGCTGGAATAATTCTCCAATGAGGTGAAATCACAATTATGTGGGGTCTCTAATGAATAAACCCCTGACAGGGATGCTCTGGTTCAAGCTTGGTGCTGTCCAAAGSCAAACATTAATTGTGAGCTTTGCTGTCTGTATTACGTGACAGGCAAGACTACACAAATATAACAACAACAGAACTGGAAAAAACAAAACCACAAATGGATTTTTTTAAGTTTTTTTTTAAAACTTTCAAGAGTAAAACTATTTTGATTTATTTCTGAGCACTGAGTTTTGTATTAGCTGAATGCACTTGGAGGCAGGAGAGGCACTCAGCTTTCTGGCACCCTCTCTGCACTGTAAGAGCATGATTAATTCATTAATAAAGCAGAGTTTGTCAATGGGTAACACTGGAAATATTACATTTTAAGAGCACCAAGTGTCCAATGCACTGCATGGAGAAACCTCTGCCAGTGTGCCAGAGCAAGCACCTAAACAGAGGCGGCTGCAACCAAAATAAAGAGTAAAAATCAATTAAAAAAACATCTTTCCATCCCWTTCCCAAGAGCTCCTGGGCTCTGTGCTACAGGCAGGGGCAGAGGGKAGAGCTCTTGTGTAATAATAACAGCTTTGGCTGACAAAAACGCAACTCCAGCAAAAACTGCKGCGAGGAGCCTGAATTCATCCTGCTGAGTAGAGGGAAAACAGCACCTACTGGAACCAGTGGGGTTTGGGAGGGTCAGGACAGTTTGCACTGGCACTCAGGAGTTAAATTAAGCACATAAGGTCACTTATTAACAACACATAGGTTGGAGCAATGCTGACTGCAGGGAGGTGTGTTACTCATATGACTGCACCATGCTCCCCTCCTCCTCCTCCTCCTCCTCCTCCCCAAAGCACCTCCAAAGAGCAGAGATTCCAAATCATGGAGCAATTTTTTCCATCTGGGCAGTTGGCAGTTGCTGTGCAGCTCAGGAATGGGGTCCAATCTGCCACATGGTTGGGTTTGTGATGGAAAGGCCAAACTGCTCTGCCTGCCCAACCCTTCCACCCCTTATCCATCCCCAAATCTGAGCAGGGCTCCTCCTGGAGCACAGATCCTCGCTGGGAAAGGCACATGCATGGTGCTTTCTTCCATGGCTAATTTGTTTTGCATACATTTGCATGCTGCCACAGAGCCATTCACACTGCTGCTCCCATTTGCTGCAGATCATTTGCCAGTCAAGCTGGAGAGTGTGTGAGTCTGTGTGTGTGCAGGGAACTCCAAAATTCTGGATTATGCAATATAAATTGCATGTAAAAATAGAAAAAAAAAGAAAAAAAAAAGACAGTAGCCACAATTGTGTGTGTGTGAATGAAGGGCACAAAGAATTTCTGCACCTTTTGAGATGGCTGGAGGCACATGGGGTAAATTCAGGAGGGGGTGGGAGGAGACCACAGGCACAAGCCATTTCTGAACACTGATTACATGGGGAAATTGTTTGTTCCAGTGTATCACAAAGAGAAGGAGCATTACTTTTCATGCCACAGCTGTTTTGAATAAGAATAGGAATAAACTTAACTATCCTCCTCATGTTACTTACCACTAATTATGGCATATATTTACATCTATAAAACAGTGAAATTTTGAGAGACATAATTTAATGCCCCTTTATTGTGTAGATTCCTTTATTTCCATCCCRCATTTGAATTTCAAAAATGTTTAGGACTTCAAAGCATCTTTAAAAGCTTGCCCTAATTATAATATGCATYACTTTCTAAAACTCCTAGTTTGCATTGCAGATTCCTGCAAATAGAGGCATTCATTTTAAACATCAATTAATATCATCCACGCATCTTCAGATGAGTTTGGTCTTTGTTTCAGAGTTGCAGTGAGCTCTGACTAAGCTTTCTTCAGTTAGAACAGTTCAAGCTACTGCAAACATTTAAAACTAAGCCAGTGGATCAGATCTGTAGAAAGCCCAACACTGATTTATATCAGTTGGTTTCTCCTATGTCACGAATGAGAAAACCTCCCTCTTCCTTTCAGACACATTTGCTTCCAAATTCTGCAGAATCAGAGCTCAGGTTGGCACAGAGCATTTGGCAGTGCAGAGACACAAAATCCCAGCACGTTCCTGCAAGGTGTGCTTACACACAAATGGGAACAGCAGCMTTTTTTCTGAAGAAATACCCTACAGGAATGAAAGAAATAAAGGACAGTGAGCTGAGAGTTTAGGATCTCATTCTCATGACTAATTAAACAGCTATTTTCTGTTTTTCCTCTACATAATCCTAGATATAAATAGGACTGGGGGGGAGCACTGGTGTGAAGTTTATTTCTGGAAGATTCATTGAGTTTTGCTGCACTCAAACACTACCCCAGGTACCTTCACTCCCTCGATGAGAGAGAAAATGCACGGGCCTGTTTTAAGATCATGGCTCAGATAAGTGTCCTCACCACATTTGTAATGCAGAACTCAGAAGGATGTTAGCACTGTGTGTTTTTAATCCCTAAATAAATAGAGCACGGATTTGTATCAAAAGGCCATTATGCTGGAGGGCACGGCGAGGTTGGGAAATGTTGGATTTCAGGAGCTGCCTGCACATCCTGAGTGCTGAACTGTGCCATGTCACAGCTGCACACTCACCTCTGAGAGCTGCACTGCATTTCTGTGCCTCTGCTGCTCTCTGTGGCCCAGCTCCTGTGTCCTGATCTACAAAAAACTCATCTTTTGGGTGAAGCTTTAGTAGTTTAGMGGTTGGCCARTGGTTGAACTCAATGATCYTAGAGGCCTTTTACAACCTAAACGACTTTATTATTTTAYGTTTATATTGCCAACATGAGATTTTGTAAATACTATCAGAAAAACCTCTCAATGAAGTTTATCACAACTAGATCAACACGCAGCATCCCAGCCCTCCATTCTGATTATTTTTTCACCCTTGCTCTGATAAGTTTTGGAGCAGCAGGAAAAGGCAAGGAGAAAGCAGATGTGCTTCAGGAAATGCCCTGGCACTCTCCAAAGCTCACAGCTGTCTCAGTCACAGCCCTGCTTGGTCCTTTTTGGGTAAGATGATGGCAGAAGCTGCACCTCGGAACATTCACAGCAGGATCCAGGATCCATTCCCGAGCCTTCCTCGCCTTCCCTGGGACCACTAGATGGCAGTTCCCATCTCCAAACGGGAATCTGGGTATTCCTGCCCAGTTCCCATCTCCAAATGGGAATCTGGGTATTCCTGCCCAGTTCCCATCTCCAAACGGGAATCTGGGTATTCCTGTCCAGTTCCCATCTCTAAATGGGGATCTGGGTCCCACTGACTCCAGTTCCCATCTCCAAATAGGGATCTGGGTATTCCTGCCCAGTTCCCATCTCCAAATAGGAATCTGGGTATTCCTGCCCAGTTCCCATCTCCAAACGGGAATTTGGGTATTCCTGCCCAGTTCCCATCTCCAAATGGGAATTTGGGTACCACTGACTCCAGTTCCCATCTCCAAACGGGAATTTGGGTATCACTGACTCCAGTTCCCATCTCCAAATGGGGTCTGGGTATTCCTGCCCAGTTCCCATCTCCAAATGGGAATCTGGGTCCCACTGACTCCAGTTCCCATCTCCAAACGGGAATTTGGGTATTCCTGCCCAGTTCCCATCTCCAAATGGGATCTGGGTACCACTGACTCCAGTTCCCATCTCTAAATGGGGATCTGGGTACCCCTGACTCCAGTTCCCATCTCCAAATGGGGATCTGGGTACCACTGACTCCAGTTCCCATCTCCAAATGGGGTCTGGGTATTCCTGCCTAGTTCCCATCTCCAAATGGGAATTTGGGTGCCACTGACTCCAGTTCCCATCTCCAAATGGGCTCTGGGTCCCACTGACCCTGCCCAGCATGCAGATCCAGGCAGAGCTGAGGCACATCAGTTGAGGAACATCTCCTCTCTGCTCCTGGGRGCTGTGAGCCCACCCCAAGGATGAGGGAACAGCAGAAGAATTTTCACAGACACCCCTAAAGGTACTGCACACCCCACACACCCCCTGTCCCAATCACAGCCCCCATCCCACCCCTTACTCACCCAGAATTTCACCAGGAAGAAAGCGTTCTGAGGCCCCTTCCCAAAGAGCTCCTTCAGGCCGCCCTTCTTCTCCGGGAATTTGTCATAAATCTGACGGATGTCCACGGACTCGAGCAGAGGGTCGCTGTAAGAGTGGTTGGCRTGTCCAATGTGCACGAAGAGGTGTTTGTTGTACTGCAGGGACAARCAGAGAGTCAGAGCTGCAGGAGGAGAGCAGGGGGTTCTTATRGCAGGGACTGTGTGTGATCCCACCCAGGGGATGGAACAAATGAATGAGCCCCCTTTGCTCGTGGGATTTGCTGCAGAATGGTTTCTGTGAACAGCTTCACTGATTGTGTCTGTGAACCAGGGATAAAATCAAAAATCTGTGTCCCTGCTGCAAACCCCACAGCACGGGTTTTGTAAGGGGTGACTTATGCTGCAAGGCCCAGTGCTGGTGAAGAGCCCTGAGCACAAAAAGATGAATGTGCTCACGAGAAAAGCCTATTTCTGCTGTAAACTGCCTTTTAATGTCCTGTGTGCTCAGAGCCTGAATTTCTGCTCGTGCCACAGAGCTCTCTTATGCACATCTCCATTAAAAAACCCAAATCTCTGTCTGTGGCACATCTCAGCTAAAAGACACAGCAGGGATTTATTTCCTTTTGCCTGCAGGATGGCAGTGACAAGGCCAGTTACTCTGTGCTGAGACACTGAGTGTCCTCACTGAGTGTCCTCACTGAGTGTCCTCACTGTGTGTCCTCACTGTGTGTCCCCCTGCATTTCGGCCCATGCAGCACTGAGAGCCCCCTTTCCCCCTTCCTTCCTTCCCTCGGGATCCCTCTGTGATCACCATCCCTGCAGAACATCATCCCACCATAATCACCCCATCACAATCACAGCATCACCTCTGCAATGCCTTCCCTGCCTTGGCCCACACAGTGCACTCCTAAAGAGCCCAAAATGATTTTTTAGGGACTGCCATTCCTCCAGGAGAATCTTTCAGCACCGAAATCAAAGTAAAAGGATGAACACCAAAGACCCTCCACGGGTCAAGCAGCACCTCCAGGACCATGAGAGCAGAGTGAAGGAGCTCCAGAGGGACAGGATTCAAATTTGGGGTTTTAGCCATGCAGATCACAAACCATTTTGCCATCTCAGTTAAGGGAAAGTTATGCAGTCAATGAACATCAGGAAACCCTGTCACAATGAAGAGATGCTCTATAGAAGGGGCTATTCCCAAAAGCTTAGGCACAAATAAAATATTTAAAACCCCAAAGCAAACCTCATTTAAGCTATTTGGTTTACAATGTACCTGCTGAATGAACTAATTGAAGTGACAAATCTAAATGAATTGGGCAACCACTCAGAGCCTTCCTYTGGTGTGAGCAGAGTCTTCCCTAGCAGATGTCCAAAACTCTGGGGAAAAGGAAATGGACTGGCTGGATTTGTGCACTTAGGAAATGAAATTGAAATCTATTAAAAAATCATCTAGCACAGTGAAATCTGAATTTAGAACCAGAGAACACTCAGCTGGTGTGGGGCCACAAATGATATACAGCCTGTGTTTTTTTGCAGAGCTTATTTCTTGTTTAACGTCGTGGAAGTAAAAAGGAAAGGGGATTGTTTCCTCTCACTCTTCTCTGCTGGAGTTGTTCCAGGTTGTACAAATAACCACATTTTTATGGAAGCAGACTTGAGGGCTCAGATTCTGCTGTAAAGTGTCCTCCTCCCCAGCAGTCTGTGGAGGGAAGGGGGAKCTGCATTTCACAGTGTGGCCACTGCAAATTCCTCAGACAATTCACACATTGTACTTKATTCTGCAAACCAGGCAAATACACAAAACTGCTCGGTATCCAAACTTCAGAAAAAGCAAACRCATTTATAGGGACATGGAGCGTGAAGCCTTAATGCTCTTGAAATAWAAAAGCAGAGTTGGAGCAGCTGCAGAGCTGCCACAGTTGTCTGCAGAGCTGGCCAAAGCACCAGATGCTGCTGCAGAGAAATTTCTGAGCGGGTACAGCAGGACAGATGGCATGACATCACCTGACAACATTCTTAGGACAGAAATGTTTATTTTGATATTGCAATGTGTGATTATTTTCTCCTTATGTTGCTGCAATTCCTGTGCTAAGTGCAATCATTGCTAATCTAATTAGACATGGCATATTTCTGCGAACCAACAATGATAATGTGATATTGGAGCAGAGTAAATGGTACTGGAATGATCCCCTCACTTTTATCCAAACACTCCCCAACAGGAACTGATGCATGRAGGCAAAGGAGCAAAGTTTTCTGCCTATATTTTGGAGCCCATTGGTGTCTGAACAGCTTAAAAACATCCTCATTATAGTGAGAATTCACTCTTGGTTCAGACTGAGTGTCCCAGAGTCAATGAAGTACTTCAGCTGCTGAGGAATTTACTTACACTACAGCATTTAAAGGATTTGCATCTGGCATCAGGGCAMTAATGTGCTTTAGATGCCATAAACCACCACAAGTCAAATCCTGCATTTTCTAAGCACACAAAAATAGGAAGAACATTTTCAGCTGGGTCTCCTGTGTCTGCTTTACACCACATGCCCTGGAGATGGCTGCCTCTGAAAGCTGAGCTCCTTCCCTTAAAAAAATCCCAACTATCCAAAGAATGCAGTAAAGCCATGAAATATGACTGTTGTCAAAYAACACAACAAGAAAAATTATAATCCACTCAGGAATTTAAAAGAACCAAGACAAATTGCCAATGGCAGGAGATGCAAGCATTCAAGCTGGTGCAGAACAAAGACAAACCACCTTAATTTGTTTTATCAGCCAGCACRTGCATTTGTAACAGCTCCCCAGCAGTTTTGCAGGAATATTCTCACACAACCATGCAGATGAGCACATGGAGGTGATGTGGGTGCTGAAGGTGAGGGCAGCTCAGCTGTTCTGAGAAGGAGCTGCTGTTTTTGAGGGAATGGCTTTGCTCATGGCACAGCACCCCAGAGGAAGGGTTCTGTAGTGATTGAACCCCCCCAAATCCCTCTGGCCATGCCTGGAGTCACCTCCTGAGCAGAGATTGTGCTCTGGGGACAAAAAGAGCCCGATGGGGATGGGGTGGATGGAACCAGCCCCTGGTGGATCAGAATCTGTGTTCAGCTCCAACCTGCACCCTGCCAGCCTCAGCTCTGCTGCCTCGCTCTATCTCGTAAATCTGAAACTCTTTAATTTCCTGCTGATGTAAGAAAATCGCTCTGTCTGCCAACAAGTTTTTTTTTTTATTTCTACCAAAACACCAGTGACTGAATATTTAATTCCTGCCGCTGTTGTCCTCCACTGAAGCAGACTGGGAGTTATAAAAGTGATACTTTAATGCTGTAACTGGAGCCTGCACTAACTCCTGTTGGTAAGGTTTTTAACACTTTCCTGTGAAGTGTTAATTGAATTTCTGTGCTGTGTGCTCCCTTACAGCTGCTCTGTCATGGACCTCCGTGAATTCTGCCCGGATCTGCACAGGGGYTCAATCAGAAATGTGAAGTAAAAGGAGGTTTTTGGCAATTTTATGTTTGCAGAAATGGAGGGGTAGGTGATGAGGGAGGTCAGCTCCTGAACCTTTTATGACAGCATTTCCCAGCCACTGCCACAGGAGTGTGGAACCAGGACCTGCAGGGTGGGCAAGGTGCTTACACAACATTTCCATCAGCTTTTCTGCAGCACTGAARATCATCTTTCAGTTCTGGCCTGGCTCATTTAAGACTCTGCAGTCCCAGCTCCAGAAGTGCTGAGAGCTCAGATGGGAAAATGATGCCTGACTATAGGAAGCTCTCAATAATSTTAAGCATTCTGCAAAATCAAGCTCATGACAAATCAAAGGGGACCCTCAAAATCAGTGGCCCATTCATTCTTGTGCACCTGAACTTCTTGGTTTGTCAATTGTGAGTGATAATGCTCCTTCATCTCAAAAGACTGCACTGGTACATCTGTGAAATGCAAATGGAGGGAATTATTAATTCCATTTGGAGGGGAGGTTAGACAGTGCACAGCAAGCAGGGCACRGGGCCATGCATTTCAACAGCACAAGAAAACAAACTACTGAATGGTTGCTTATCAAAGGAGGGCCATCTACATCTCCCCTGAATGCAGCAGAGGAACAAATAAACATGGGAGTGTGTCATTATCTGCTCTTGGCAGAGCAGGCACAGCAGATTTCCCAACGTGTGAGGGTCAGGCAGTTTTGGGGTGGCTGTAGGGTGGGGAGGCTGTAGGACGAGTTGGGGACATGTGGGGCACAGGCACAGCCACCCCACCCCGTGCCAGCCCGACCCACACACCCTCTGCATTCCAGTTCTGCTGGGAAAGCTCCCCAGCACCAGTGGGGYTGGAGAAAAGGAGAAAGGAGCTGCAGGAAGGCAGCAGGGAGAGCACAGCCAGGCCCCAGGAGGATTCCCAGCTGTGGGCTGGCTTTGGGGAATAAATGGTGTTTATTTATTACGGTGGGTTTCCCAGCCCACCTAAAAACAGAACCCTCCCTGGAAGGTCCATGTCCTGCTGGAATCCAGGAATCCAGGAATATAGGAATCCTCCCTGGAAGGTCCATGTCCTGCTGGGATTTCATGTCTCCAGGAATCCTCTCTGGAAGGTCCATGTCCTGCTGGGATTCCCATCATGTCTCCAGGAATCCAGGAAGGTCTCCAGGAATCCAGGATTTTCTCCAGGAATCCAGAAATGTCTCCAGGAACCCAGGAATCCTCCCTGCAAGGTCCATGTCCTGCTGGGATTCCCATCATCTCTCCAGGAACCCTCCCTGGAAGGTCCATGTCCTGCTGGGATTGCCATCACATCTCCAGAAATGCAGGAATATCTCCAGGAATCCAGGAATGTCTCCAGGAATTCAGGAATCCTGCTGCACGGGCTCTCTGCTGCCCCAGCACAAGATCAAGACTGGAGCCTGTGTCAATACAGGATCCCCTTCGAGTGTTTTCTTGGCATTTCTGACCATGGACACTTGAAAATGAACATTTCCCAGAGTTTGACATTTGCATCCCAGGGCTGACACAGCTCTCCAGCACGGCAAAATAAATGAGCCTTGTGTTTGGCAAAACTTCTTCTGGTTCCAGATTAAAATGACCTCAAATCCCGAGGCTGTGGCTTCCAGACATTCATCCTGATGTGAGTTTGCTTTCTCCATCCTGATGTGAGTTTGCTTTCTCCATCCTAATGTGAGTTTGCTTTCTCCATCCTGATGTGAGTTTGCTTTCTTCTCCTTTCACATCACACAGACACCAAAGCAAGGACTGTGAGTGAAATGCTGAACTGCTTTTTGTACTGTTTACAGGGAGTGCAGAAAGGATAAACAATCCTTGCAACAATGGATATTGTTCAAGGATGGAGGGCTGCTTTTGAAAAGATCTCATTTATTTTTCATCACTTAGGTAGTTTGATTAACTTTGGTGGATTTTACTGCATTTGGCTAATGATGGCAGGCTGTTTTTATGGCCCTTGAGCAATTGCTTTCCCTTTCTGGTTCTCAGGCACAATTCTCCCTGGGCTCACAAAGTCCTTTTACAACGACAATAAAACCTGAATTAAAACATAAAGAATGTTTTATTTCTTCACCGCTTTTTAAAATGCATTTTGAAATTTGGACCTAACACAATCTGACAGTTTGGATGGGTGGACTAACACTGAMAATGTCCATCAGCCATGTCCTTTATAGCCCTACATAGATGTTTTAAATGTGAAGCTGACTGAAGTGTTCACAATTTAAATTCATGTGACAGCAAGAGCAAGAACCCTCAAAAAGGAAGAGAAGAAAGGACTTTTTTTTGTTGGGTGGTGATAGAGTTCTGGCCTGATTTTGGGCAGGGGGAAAGAGAGAGGAAGGGTCACCCGTTTTTAATAAAATGCTGGAAGCGCATTTGATCAAGAAAATATTTGATGTCATTTTCTGTGAAAAGCCAGCAGTGTAATGAACACATAACTGTGGTAAATATRTGATGATTWATGTCAAGGTTCAAGGCTTACTGGRGTAAATGAAACWTTACAGCCAACTTYAGAAACTACCTGTGCAGGTACAGTATGCAGACTGAAAATCCAAAAGAAAATTTAAAACTTCATTAAAAATAATAATWAWAAAAAAATCCAACATGCARTATGCACACTTTCTGTGCAAGTCCTTGATTTTGTTTCAGTTAGGAAATAGATTAGGCTTTAACTGAGAGTTGAAGCACTGAACTCTTGCCAAGAACACAATGCAGTTTGGTCCACCTGCTAAAGTAGGTCAGCAGAGACAGGAGCCAGAGCAAACCCTGCCTGCTCTCACAGAGGCATTTGCTGCTGCAAATGGGGAAAAGAGGGCAGGAAAGGAAAATGCACTCACAGAGGCTGCAAATGGGGAAAAGAGGGCAGGGAAGGAAAATGCACTCACAGAGGCATTTGCTGCTGCAAATGGGGAAAGAGGGCAGGAAAGGAAAAGGAAAGGAAAGGAAAATGCACTCACAGAGGCATTTGCTGCTGCAAATGGGGAAAGAGGGCAGGAAAGGAAAAGGAAAGGAAAGGAAAAAAAGAGGGCAGGAAAGGAAAATGCACTCACAGAGGCATTTGCTGCTGTMAAYGGGGAAAAAGARGAAAATGCACTCCAGGGTGAGAGGAATACTGCACRGAGCAGCACTGAACACGGACACACCAGGAATATTCCATCAGATTTAACCCTGGATGGCATCTGCAGAGGSTGCAGGACAAAGCTGAGGGGCAGCAAAGTCCAGGGCAGTAAATACTCACWGATTCAGGATCCCTCTGCTGCTCGAGGAAAGCTGAGAACTCCACCAGCCTGAGCTTGGTGGTGCCAATGGAGCGGCCCTGCCACGCGGGCACCGAGGGAGCTGGGGCTGAGGTGGGCTCAAAACCTGCAGAAAAGGAAATATTTCATCAAGAACACTTGCTCAGTTTGTATTTGCTCAAATATAATTGGGAATTATGCACCTAGCCCTTGGATGTTTRTATGAATTTTCACAAGTGATTAATTCAGGGCGAGTTAAAATTGGAAAAACTCAAGAGCAATATGTAGAAAAAGAGGTCCCAGCCCAGCAATCTAATAATGGTGGAAAGAAAAGTCCTACTGGGTTGTTTCCTTGGGGCTGTAACTCATTTTTGTATAAACAGGAACTTGATTACAGAGATTTACAGAGGCTTCACCTGCACCTACAGCTTCACCCTTCCTTGGAAATGGCATCAGGACTCTCAGGAGGTGTTTGTGCYTTGGAGTCAGCAGAACTCACCCCATTTCTGGCTCCTTATGTGCCCCACGTTACCAGTAAATCACCTCTCTTTTTGCCTATTTCTCCTGCCACTCTCAATTCCCCTCTCCCATTTAGAGTACAAGGTTTCCAAGCCAGGCACTGTCTCTTRCTATTTGCACATTGGGTCTTGACTTCTTTTGGAGCTTTTAGGCATCATTATGCTACAGCTAATAATAAATAATTACTGTAGAGAGCTGAATCATTCTCTAAAAAGAAAAAAAAAAAAGGTTTTAAATTGATAATAAAGAGAGAATGGCATGATCTAGATAGAGAAGGGATGTTAACCACCCTCTCTAATTCACCTCAAGAGAAGGAATAAATGCTATCTCTTGGTTGTCATTGCAGAAAATTAGATGAGAGGGAAAGAAAACTGCAGAGGAAGAGGGAAAGGCAAAGCTCATCTTGGGAGACACAAGGGAGGCAGGGAGAGGCAGCAAAGTGAGAGAACAAAGATGATCCTGAGCTGGGCTGAGAGGCAGGGAGAGCCTACAGACAGCATGAGTTTTGACTGACTTAGAAATACTAATAATCCTATTCTGAGAGAAAAAAACATGGAAAGAAAAGTATAATTCCCAAGATATAATCCCTAAAATGATGGGACACTGGGGTTGGTGTTTGCTTTGGCTAGAGGGAACATGAGATGCAGAAGTGTCAGAGCTTAACACATCACATTCAACACAAAATTCCAATATTTTCAAGGGAGAGGATAAATGGGAGCATTACCTGAAATGGGAGCTGTGACTGATGGCTGWATGGGATAGGCCTGCTGGATGAATGGCTTTACGCTGGAATAAAGAGGGACACAGAAATCACACACCGTGCTATCTGCAGGAAATTCCAACAGACTCACACAGCACAGGAAAATAGAGCAATGACCTTTACCCAAAACAAATCCCCTCCTTGCAGAGGATAATTTATTTAACACACAGATAGCACAGGGGGGATGAGAATTACACCCAGCATCCCAAAACCAGGATCTCACTGGCGCTTCTTCACATCACCTCAAAGATTCCTTCTTTCCCTAAAACCATCTTTGCTTCCTTTTTTGGGGAGATTTGCAAGTTCTTACTTCCCTGCTAGCACAGAATGCCCAAACCACCACTGCCTACAGAAAGATCTGTGAATTTTCACACTTACTCTTGTGATGATCCAGGCTGCCCCGTTTGAATCATGCCCGGCCAAAACTGAAAGAGCAAAAACAGAAAACAGGCCCACAGTTGTTGTCTCTGTTGGAAGGCTTTGGGTATTTTTGAACAAGCATGATTCCTTTCACAAACACAAGTCAGAGAGTTAATCCATTCATTCTGTCTCAGTTTTCCACTGAACACTGTTAGAGAATAAAGGGATTTTTTGGGGTTTCTGCTGCTGACTTACCCCAGGTGCCCCAGGAAAGGTGGGACGGGGGATTCCTGGCAGGCCCAGCTTGTTGTGGATGGCAGTGGCTGAGACAATCTGAGCTGATGACATTGCTGCCATGTGCTGGAGTGCTTTGTCCTTTGCTGTCTGATCCTTCAACAGGACAATTACACCGAGTCTTAAAACATTTGGCACAACCAACGGCGTTAAATAACTGCAGCTACAAGCACAGAACTAAAAAACTTAAAAAGCCACACAGAAAATGCAAACATAGCRAAACCATGCAGGAAAAAAAAAAAATACAGCACGGAGGCTAACACTCCAACTACCTCAATGCACAACCTCCTGTCAGACATGCATGGTAACCTGAATTCTTACAGTCTGCTCTGCCAACACACAGGAGAACAAACTGCTGCCCACTTGTGATTCTGGGCTGATTTTAAACCAGGCTGGACTAAGCAGGACACGCTGCTGAGGCTCAGCTCTGCCTGCAGGACAGGGAGCACTGAGATTGCAGCTCCAGCATCTCCATCTAAGAGAAGTTTGCCTTTCGTGTTCCATTATAAAATGGGAACAGAACTGCAGCTGGCTCACAAACAGGACAGTTCTCTTCGTGCTAAARGGCTGAAGAGACATTTTGGATTCAGCTTCATGAAAGCAAGAAAGTTAGGCCACAAACACTTTCAGTCGTGGCATTTTTACTGGCTTACAGTGCTCCCAAAGAAAGCCATCAGCCACCAAATTCCTGCTGTTTTCAAGCACACAGGAACGAGTTTGGGAAAAGGTGGGGTGTTATTGGTTACTGGTATTAGAGCAGCACTTGGAGTGAGTGACTGCCACAAATATGGCACAGGACAGGAGGGGAAAGGCTTCAATGCAACAGCATTAACCAGGGAAAATGATTAAACAATAACACTCTGCTAAAGAGTGTTTACTCATCCAGAACAACTATATTAATAAGTACTAATATTTAGGGATGTCACTTAGAATGAAGGAACACAAGCAGTATTAGGCAAGGACATTTTGGTTGGGTTGTTTTTGGTTTTTTTTTTCTAGTTTTATTTTACAAGCCAAGTAGCAAGCATGCTGGCAAGAGATGCATGCTCTCATGTACACATGACTTTGCACATATGCTTCCTCTAAAGCTCCTATATGTAGTACTATAGGTGAGCAGTTCCTTCCTTTGAATAGCTCCTTTAGAAACAGCACAGGCTGAGAGTACAGGAAAGGCTAGCCAAAAAATACTGCCAAGCACAGCTAAGGTACATAATACTTGGTTTAGTCAAAATACTTACCATGCTTGTTACCTGGATACAACAACAAACAGTTTATTAAAATGCTTGTGTASAATAGCGGACTCTTAGCAAAATATGAACAAAATAGTAAGAGACAAAGGAAGAGCAGTRTGCTCAACATTAAAGATCAGCTTTAAACAAATGCATTATTTTCACCCAGGGACTGATTCATTAAAAGGGTTAAAGAAAGGATAAAAAATAAAACCAACAAAACCTGGGGAGGAACAAGCGCAGCTCTCTGTGTGCACGCTGTGAATGCTGAATGAGAGGAATTGTTGTGTGTGTTCCCCTGAGCTGTGTGAGGATCCCTGTGGACACAGCCCTGGGGTGGGAGCAGCAGTGGAGAAGGGCAGGAGCTGTTTCAGCATCCTTCCCTGTGCCCTGCAGGATGTGAGGATGTGAGGATGTGAGGATGTGAGGATGTGAGCCCTCTGCTCAGCTACCTGAGAGCTAAAACAGCCCTGGGAGCAGCAGGTGGAGAGGGCAGGAGCTGATCCAGAATCCTTCCTTGTGCTCTGCAGGATGGGACCTGCAGGATGTGAGGATGTGAGGATGTGAGGATGTGGGGATGTGAGGATGTGAGGATGTGAGGATGTGAGGATGTGAGCCCTCAGAGCTAAAACAGCCCTGGGAGCAGCAGTGGAGAGGGCAGGAGCTGTTTCAGCATCCTTCCTTGTGCTCTGCAGGATGGGACCTGCAGGATGTGAGGATGTGAGGATGTGAGGATGTGAGGATGTGAGGATGTGGGGATGTGAGGATGTGAGGATGTGGGGATGTGAGGATGTGAGGATGTGGGGATGTGAGGATGTGAGCCCTCTGCTCAGCTACCTGAGAGCTCCAACAGCCCTGGGCTCATCTGTGCCACCTTCTGCCCCGTGTGAGCCTCCTCTGCCTCCCCAGAGCCCAGAGCTGCTGCAG